AACTCCAACTCGAAGCACATCGATGTACGGCATCACTTTATCAGGGAGCTGGTAAAGAGGACAGAGATATCAATTACTCACGTGCCGACGCAATTTCAGCATGCAGATTTCTTGACGAAGGCTATTAGCAAGGAGTCTTTTGCGTTGCCCCGTGACTTTGTGATGAACTTGCAGTGAAGGAAGTGTTTTGGGGTCGATTCGTATTCTGTAGCGGAGCGAGGAAGAGAGAGACGAGATTGGACAAGAGAAAGAGAGAGTCTGGTGAAGGTGGTAAGCGTGTTGGAGTTGCGTTAAGATTTTTTCTTGTTTGTTTTGGAGGAGTGTTGGTTGTGTTGGAATTTTTCTTGTTTGGTTTGGAGGAGTTTTGGTTGTGTTGGATTGACTTGGGAGGGTTCTGCATGTTTTGGGGAGGATATTGGATTTGGATGCTTTGAGAATTTTCTTGTTTTAGTTGGGAGAGATGGTAAATGAGGAAGTTGGTTTTTGCCGAAGCATGATGGTGCATGCGAGCAGGGGGGCTATTAGATATATTGGGGGTACTCGTAGCATTGTATGACGGGTAAGATCTTCGGTACGTACGTACGGAAATTGCAGTGATGAGATGCGGAGGAAACAGAGAGATCCGTTTGGTAGTTTGAGCGTGATGAGCGTGACGCGTGCTTGATGCCGTGACAGATTTACGAGCACGAGCACGCCCCCGAAGAATACAATACGTTTTCCTATACGTCCCTCCCCTACCACGGCCCGTCATGGCCCAGCTGCTCTACACTCCCACCACACATAACTGAGCCACCCGAATTATCGATCAGCTGCTGTGTGTGCTGTGTGTAGATGGAATGCGCGCAGTGACCCACGTGGCTCTAGTTTCTTTCCCCCGCCTGTTCTTTCCCCCGCCAGCTCCACGATACGACTTGCCGCCATGATTGCCAGCACTGCCTATCTGTATGCTCGCGTTGCTTGCCGCCACGATCGCCAGGTAAACCTACGAGGTTTTGCGTGATACCGACCGATGCAACCGCTTGATGCACCGATATTATCGACTACCTCACCCCACCGCTTCCTTCTTCTCATGGTCCCACAATTAGCTTCTCCTGGTTGTTTCGATGGCACATCGACAGCGTGGTGGGGATGCATGCTGCCCCAGCTCTCTAGACGCAAGGACTTGCCCTTCTCCGCGCCCCCTCCAGCGCCACACCGCTTGTCCCGACGCGATGAGCATGTTGCTCTGACTCTTCGGCCAGTGCCTCCAGCGGAGGCTGCACCTCGAACAGCACTGCCTATCTTGTAGAGATATTCGGTGCTAAAGATCTATCAAACCCACCGTTTGCAGGGACCTGGAACACCCACACCGGTTCGATTTCCGCAACCGGCCCACTGCTGATGATCACTTCTGCAGCTGTGTAGTCGATGTAAAGGCCCACCGCAGCAGGCTTCTCTTGGGGGAATGAACTCTCGACGTCCCCTCTCCCCGGTCTTACATCCGGGCCCTCTCCAGCTGGGGTCCGTGTGTTGTGGATATCGTCTGTAATACCCTTGACAAGTGGGCAAGGCTGTGCCTCTCGATGGCACTCGAGATGGTTGGCACCGCGAGCGGTTGAAGATCAGAAATAGGGTGCTTCTTGTGCTGTGTGGAGACGGAAGATACGTTAAACATTGGCGCTTTGTTGGCCAACACACTGATAGATCCACAGAGAACGCAGAAGTCCAGATGACGGCAGTTCCTAGAGATGACTATCCAGAGAAGTCCATGCGAGAGATCCATGCGAGAGATCCATGCGAGCGTGAGAGACAAGCGATCCCTCGAGCAGAGATTGCTACAGCAGTAATTCCTCCGCATACAGATGCGTTACGTATGAACCGAAACATACAGTATCTACGATGCATGATCTACGATAGAGAGCAATGCTACTGAACTTTGACTAGTACAGGACATAATCCAATATTTCCATAACACTCCCCCTCAATGAAAGTTGCATTGAATCTAAGAGAAAATCTTGCACGAGAAACAAAGCCGTGTGATGCGTCAACCACTAAGTAAGATAAATAGCAAATGGAATGTGCTTGCAGAGTACTGTTACTATTGTCCTGCGCTTTACCAAACGACCACAGATTCAACCTAGCCTAGGTGGTTTTCAACCAGCGATGGTGCGAAGTCGAGAAGTTAACAACTGAACTAGTAAACTGATTCACACAACAAACAACAGATGACAAATACACAAACATTGAAGATGAAGATGTTGAAGATGATGATCTTGAAAGACGAAGTTGAAGATGTAGAATGTTGTTCTCGATGATGGCGAAAGATGTGAAGCGATGAAGTAGAAGCGCCATTACTCCCCCAGAGAAGAATTGTACGATGAAACTTGTAGCATCAAAACGCGCCAAAGAACCCGTCAGGGAGATGGGAGTCTTTCTGGACCGTTGAAGGTGTCGCGTTCGCCGAAGCCTCAGGCAGGGTCTCCCTTATAGCGTCGAAAGAGAATCCGAACGTGGATAGCTCGGTTCCCTGGTTCTGGGCCAGGTGGACGCTCCCAAAGTTGTTGGAAGCCTGCGGTCCCTTTTATTGCGCTACGTGGCCGCTTCCGATGTTGGAGACGTTTGTTTGGCCAGCAGGTTGAAGCAGCGCCAGGTTTGCAGCCAATCATGTAAGCTTCTTTTGCTTTTGGCATTCATGGTCACCGTGTGTAGTGGCGTTGTGGTATGAGCACCACTTGGGGTGTCCGTCACCACTGCCTTTCTTGCCTTTCTTCCACTTCTTCTTGTTGGTTTGGTTTCCGTCGGTCTTGCAGTGTCCGCACTCCTTGCAGCAAGAGCCCGTTCCTGCGTCCGACATCCTCATTGCCATTCCTCGCCCTGAAATATTAGGCGTTACATTCTTCATGTCTAAATTTTAGGCGATGGCGGTCTTTTTCAGCGGTTCGATATCGAGAGAGTCGTCCTCGTAGTGTCGGTGTCTGATAAACTCGAATTTCTTCGGCAGGGCGTATAGAAGCAAGGATTCGTACACTTCATCAGATATTTCCTCCCCCATTTCTTGGAGACGGTCACGCAGGCGGTTGGTGTTCGCGAACAAGTCCTCCTGGTCGACGTGTTCGTCCATTGCGCTCCGGAAGAGCTCTTCCCGTGCAACACGCCTGGCTTGTTTGGCGTTGCCGTCGAACCGCTCCTTCAGGGCTTCCCATGCAGAAATTCCGTTCCCCATACCATCGCCCGTCTTGCCCATGGATGTAGTTACGGGAATGTGGGCTGACCCGGCGGTCACGAAGAAGAGGACGGAAAAGAGCTGGTTGTTTGTCTCTGTCCAAGCAGCAGCCGCTGCAGCATTGGCAGCGCCTGTGGGACGACGTTGGCCGTCGAGTACGGCAAGCATTTTCGGCTTGTAGCGGCCGATGGCCATGCGCATGTTGGGCTCCCACTCGCGGTAGTTGGAGTAGCCCTCGCATTTGCCAATTAGTTCCAACGTGCGGTCGAATGCCGGGGAAGATGATTCAGTCTTTGTCAGCCATTTCTCCACACAAGCTCAGAAGGTTGCAAGAGGANGACGACGTTGGCCGTCGAGTACGGCAAGCATTTTCGGCTTGTAGCGGCCGATGGCCATGCGCATGTTGGGCTCCCACTCGCGGTAGTTGGAGTAGCCCTCGCATTTGCCAATTAGTTCCAACGTGCGGTCGAATGCCGGGGAAGATGATTCAGTCTTTGTCAGCCATTTCTCCACACAAGCTCAGAAGGTTGCAAGAGGATGATGCCGCGAACGCCCCGAGTATCTAAGGACTCGACGCGCAGAAACAGTGCCGTAAGTTTGGTATGCAAACCCGTATGTGTGCGACCCCGTTTTGAAAGTTGTAGATTGCAGCCCGGAAGCCAACAACCGTTGTCCGCCGGAACCTTTCAGTATCCGGTCAGACTGTATGCTGTGCTCTGAGAAGGCAGGGGCTCAACCGACCATCTGCACACGTACCAGAAAATGTATACGTGAAAGATATCTTGGACCAAC